CTTTTTGTTGTTTTCTATGAACCGTGAGTAGATCCACGACTATGGGTTAGGGATTCGTATGTATTTTGGGTATGTTTGAACCCTAACTTGGATTTCGGTTTTGATTTGTTTCGGTTCTATTGATTTGCGCTTTTATTGGATTGATGTTTGCTAACCCCTTGGTCAATTATCTTAGATTCTAAACTACATAGAGATATGGGTTTGGTTTCAGATCAAAATCAATAGGATAGATCGTATTATTCACATAGAGATATGGTTTAATCGATTTAGGATTGATGATAGCGTTCTTCATGCATCTAGGGTTAACTTGAATAGATCGAGAGATTGGCGAGTTACTCTGTAGGTAGTGAGTTAGTATACCGAGAGGTGAATTCTCTATATTTGTTGCTTGATGATTCCCGAACACAAGTCATAATCGTTATTCTCACATGCTTAGCATATACCCATACACTCGAATACGATTCCGACATCCGTGGTCATCTTGGATTGATAGTTTACTCGTTTTTATTGCTTTGCTTCCTTATTTTCTATTCATTCCACATATTTCTACCATCACTTCCACTTCCTTGCTTTGATTTGGTTTCGATTAGGGTTTAGATTTAGCTACCGGTCCTTGCGTTCGACCCCGTGTTACGACGATCCGTATCCTTGCGGTGAGTTGTGAATCGGGTTATAAATTCTAGACTCGATACACACGTATCAAGTTTTTGGTGCCGTTGTCGGGGACTGGTTAGCCTATTTCTAGGTCTTCATTGATTCTAGATCTTTGCTTGTTTTCTTTTTCTTTTTTTGTTTTTTCTTTGGTTTTTGTGGATTCACTTGGTCTCGAGTTCTTCTTTTTCTTTGCAGTTTGCAGGGTTGTAGTGCATAACAAGGAGCTCTATTCGGAGAGAAGACCTAATCTATGATCCGGAGATTGAGCGTACTTTGAGAGACATCCGAAATCAGCAGAGAAGAGAAGCTATGTCGAGGTCGAGTAGTTCGCACGACCATCAACAAGATCGTGCGGTTCATGATGAGGAGCATCACGAGAATCAGAACCACATGAACCAAGAGCACATGAATCCGCTCTACGATCAGCAGACCGAGGGCGA